TTGGATCTGATGTAGGCCGATAGTCAAACTCTCTTTTCCAAGACGGTTACTCCTTCGACTTTCTCTTTTCTGAACACTCGGCAGGCTATCGGAAATAGTAATGACGAGTACGTATGCTACTAGTAGGCTTGAGCTTGACCCGCGAGATCAGCTTTAGGAGTATATTCACGACGTTCGATTCTGATACTTCATGAGCCTCATATCAGTTGAGCAACGGACAATCTTTTCATCTTTTACCTTACGTACTTGACTTCAATCTTAAAAATTTACAACTCTCCATTTTGCATGATAGCCAAGATATGGAACGTGCCAGACTCTCACCTGGCAAAGATGGGGTCGCCTTTGAGGAGATTCATGCCTCTGACTCACCGGGTTCGGAGGCTTACTAATTTATCCACTTGAAGCCATGTTTCTGAGTCCGTTTCGAGTCCAAGTTTTCCGTCTTTTCCAATCTCGCCGCGCAATGTGGTGCCAGACATTTTTGAATCGCCGCCCCTGAGCGGCAGCCTGTTTCCAGAAGGGAATGTCATTGTGACCTTCTCCCAGACGCAGTAAATGGTTTGTTGAATCTCCAAGGATCGAGCTGCACGCGCGAGATGAACACAAGGCGGCTTGCCTTCGAACGGCAGCCGAACCGGGGCCGAACCGGAGCATCCTGCTCCGGTAAAGTGGCGGACGAACCGGAACCAGGCCCGGTTTGAGGCCAGTTCAAAGAGAACAGGAACCGGTGTATGAGAATCGGCTCCGATTTGTGGGAACCGGTTCCTGTTCTCTCTGAGAACCGGCCGGGAACCGGGGCTTAGCTCCGGTTCGTCCACCACTTTCCGGAGCGGAAGCTCTGGTTCGGCCCCGGTTCGGCTCCTGAGAAGAACCAACCCGCCCTGTGGAAGTCCAACACGCTGTGCCGTGCAACAAAGTTGCAGGGACGCCTGTGCATATCTTACAGGTTGTTTCTTGTACTTTTCTGATTTGAAAGAATTAGGCCGATCCACCGAAGACCCCGCTTTTCAGAGTCAGTGTGGCGCAGCTTCGATCTGTTCCGAACCACTGGAGTGTGGGCTGGAGTGCGGCCTTCGCGTAACTTATCAGTACTGATATGACCACGCTTGCAGTCCAGCCTGCTGCGCGGCCGCGTATGCACGAGCAACTAAGGTGGCGCGCGGCCGCCGCCGCTGCATCTTGCATGGCAGAGGTTTGCCCCGAGGTTTTGCATGTTGAAGGTTGCCGCGCTAGCTCGAGCACTTCGGGCATGCGCGCGCATCGCTCGAAAGCGCGGCCGGCCGGGCGATCAAGGATAAAATCGGACGGTTGACGATGCCACGGCCGCGTGCATGGTCGCGGGCCGCGGGTCGGCTTGCAGCGCTCAGCTTTTTATTTTTATTTTTATTTTTATTTTTATTTTTTTTTTTGATTCAATAATCTGGCCTCAAGCAGTTCGTCAGATGGAAGCTGCTGACTGGCATACGCGATATCGCAAATAAAGACTAGAAACTCGAGGGGCTGGCTCATGCAGTATATTCGTTGAATCCATGGTAAATGCGCATTAAATCTGATAGCGCGCAGGGCGTTTGCGCGAGCGTTGGGGTCTTGGGTTCACGGTGGTGGTCTCCTCCACTCTTCCCCCAGTGGGGAGGAGGGAAGAAGGTAAGGGGGTTTGCACCCACCCTATACGGTGGGCGTCTCTGGTAGACCTTTTCCTTTTGGTGTTTACTGCGCCCGTGCCGTAACGAAGGACGCTGCGGTTTTGGGGTGGAGCGGCGGAGTTAGTGCGTAAGGCTGGTATAGGCGTAGATGGTCGTGGTGGTAGGTCGACATTTGGGGTAGTGATCCTGTTGGTTGCGGACGTTACTTGCTTCTTCCTCTGCGGGGACAAATTATCGTGGCCAGGTCTTATCTTCCTTTTATTTCTCAAAAGTAGGAATTTGCCATACAATATTGTCGGAGATTCGGGAGTGATCAGATGTTTTGGTTTTTCTTGTCGAGGAATGAATGTTGCATGGCAGTGGCGTTTTGATTGGATTTGGGTGGCTTGATCAATCGAGGATGAGCATCGCTTTTTGCCGATCTGAGTTGTACATGTGAGTACAGGTTTGTGTGTGCTGGTCGATGTGATCTGTGTTGTCCCCGTTAGGTCAGAATGTTTCTTTATTCTAGGAGAAACTATCTTCGCATGCTTGTCTACATTGTTTCTCAGAGGGGGCATAGATATGGCGGATTTGGGCGTGCCCGAAGGGCCCCGATCGGGGCTGCTCATCTCAGCATGTGATGCTTGCGGCGCATTTGGAGGCTTGATTGTTTGTTGTGTGATGAAGGTCGGTAGAGTTCGTTTTGATATTTGTAAGTTTCTCATATTAGTGGGTACCGTTTGGTTCAGCTTGTGTGCATTGAAAGTCTTTGTGCGGTGCCCCACAGTTGACATGTTGAATGATGGTTGTTGAGCAGTTGATGTAGGGTTTGGATTGGTGTTTGAGGAGCCTGCTTGGGGAGCCAACTGTTTATACCGTTTGCGGAATCTTTCTGTTCCAAGCTCAAGAATTGGGACATCGGAATCATAGTCAACGTGCTGCGTTTCAGTTGCAATACTGTTACTATGTATGTTGACGCAGGGTGATTGTCTGTCGATGGTTTTTGTTTCGCGTGAAGGGAGGGAGGTGTGTGTTTTGGGGCTAGAAGGACGAAAAATTGTGTCTGTAGCTTTACGTTTTGGTTGGATTGTAGCCTCGGTCGACAAGGGGTTTTTTGCTCGAGAGCGTTCAGGTGCCCGCCATGCTTCGGCAAACTGGATGTAGTCATCTTCAGTCATCTCGTGTAGGGGTTTTTGTGCTTGAAAAAGCTTCATACGGTCTTTGAAGAGCAGTTTTTTTCCCCGCATTTTATCGCATCTTATAATCCAAATTTCTTTGAAACCCGAAACGAGACATTTGTGGAGTTTCTTAGCAATTCGAAGCGCAAGGGTTTCGGAAGTGCCAACTCGCTGTAACAACCATGTGTGTGTCACTTCGGAGATTTGTCCAGCTGAGATGTTCCGCCCGTTGTTGTGCTGTGTTACAAAGAAGTTTTGTCTGATAAAGTCAATGATCTCGGACTGAGATGCTTGTAGCCGGTTCGTTTTGCAGATTTTAATGCAGTCGAGGTATACTTTTTGGCGGGAGACACTCCACGTGGGCTTGCAGCGCTCAGCTGAATGACTCAATGCATGAGGCCCCATATAGCCTTGCAGAAGTTTTTAAAGGTGTAAACAGGTTGTCAGCTTCTGACAAGTTGGATCTTTTGCGGCCGTCTCTTCTGGTTCCAAAGGCTGTCCTACATGTCATTGATAGGCTGCTCGCCTTCTGCAATTTCGTAGTTATGTCCGCCCTCGGGGCGCACACGACGCTGCTTCGACTGGGCGGCTGCAGACAATTTTTCCAGAGAGCAGCAGCTCGGTCACCCCGCAAAACTTGTCTTTCTACCGCCGGTGGTGGTATAGCCGGGTTTATTGCACAGCGGAAGTGCGCGCCGAGCCTGCTGAAAAGTGATGCACTGTTCGGGGCTCCCGGCGGCCGGCTGTTGAAGCACTCGGGATTTGGACTTGAGGGCCTCCCAGGGATGGTGAGTAAATTCAGCCAGCGCTGTCACTGCCGTGATTAAGCAGTTCACCATTACCAAGAGTGCCCCCTTAAGGCCTTTCTGGAAAATGCTGCAATGGAAGAGCTGTGCATCCAAAATGTAGAAGGAGTCTTCTGCCAAAGGTGTCATAATCAGGGCAAAAGCAGATGTGTACAATGCAGTGGTGTGGAAAGCAAGGAGTCAGGGTTTCACAGGATTCTTCTCAAATGATCAGAGTGGCTCGTTTTGAAAGCAAGGTTGGTCGTTTTACTCGACATCAAGGAGTGAACTCTCGAAGCGCTTTGTCAGCTTTGATAGACCTGACTTGCTTCTTGGTTAGCCAGCTTATATCTTAGGCAGCTTGTGAAGAGTAGTCTTCTACCTTTCTTCAACAGCACTGAATCGCTTTCCGTTTGTAGCCAGTGGCTTACTTTTGTCCTCCGCAAAAAAACTGCGGCTTATGCTAGAATTGTAATTTCTGCTCCAAGTGCGTCGCTCATTATTTGACCTCGGTTCATGTCATTTCTTCAAAGCTGTCTGGGCCTCTGATTGACTCCCTGCAAAGTGCCTTCTCTCTTGGGTTCAGCAGATTCGAATTGTGGTCACCGTCAGGCAGAAGACACCAAGATTAGAATTTTACTGAGAGTGGAGCTCCGTTTGGTCCTTGAATCTTTTGTTTGGCAACAGCCTTGCGGACATTACGCCAATTTTGCAACCATACGCTTTTTGTACCACTCCTCAATTCTTTACTCCAATTCTGAAAGATTTCACCGGCGCATACTTGCTGTATTCGTATAATGGATTCCCCGTCTTTTTTTTCAAGCAGCATTACAAACAGTGCCCCAAAAACACTCCGCTCCTCCCATGCGTTAAAAGCAAACCGTCTTATTAGTACTAATCCAAGATTGTCCCATGCAGGCCTCAAAGCGGCTGCAGCCTTCAGACTCACGGGACAAGTCGCTGCGCCCCAACGCAAGCACGTCGCTAACTAGTATGAGCCCGTCTCAGCCGGGCGGCGAATGGCAGAGGCCACACACGAAGAAAAGAGAGGGTGACCGGGCGCACGCCGGAAAGGGGGGGTTGAAAGAGGGGGTAAAAGAGCGGGGGGAAAAGCGGTCGAAGGGGGCCGAGCGGACGTGGGAGTTTGAAGAGGAGTTTGAGGAGGAGCTAGTGGCGGACGCCCCGTTCATGGACGCAGTTGTTAAGGTAAGTGCGGCTCGGTGAAAGGCGGGTTAAGGATACGGGGTTTGGCTTTGTCGGACAATAGTGATGAACGGGAATATGGCCAGTTGGACTTTGAGAGGGTTTGCTGCAGAAAGAGTTGTAATTGGTTGTTTGGCAGTTGATGAGGGTGGTGGTCCAGGTTAGGCCTCTGGGCATTTAGTCCTTGTCTTTGAAGGTAAGATGTAGGTCTACAGACGTATGGTTATCTTCAGGGGTTTCCTAGATTTTGGGTTAGGTTGAGAATGTTGGAGTATCAGAAAGAGCCGGAGGAAGAACTGGTGGCGGACGCCCCAGTGTTTAAATTAAGGGGTTTGAATTTTGTTTGAGGTGGGATTGAAGATGGTGGTGCTGGGCTGTAACAGTGAGTAAAGACAGAAAAAAAGATTGGAAAGTGTCGGACATTTGAGCAGGATTTGGCTGCGGGTGAGCCTTGATGAATGCGCCGGTGAAGTTTGAGGGTGATGATGCGGGGTTTGACAGATTTTGTTGTGACGCATAAGCCAAGTCCATCACACAACACTTGAGAAAAGGCTTTCCTAACGAATGGAAACCCTGAGGTTCATAAAGATATTGGAAATTTCCAGAATTTTTCCAGTCTTCCGTTACAAAACCATTGGGGGTGTGTATGCAACGCCAGCTGTACTTGTGGTCATCCCAGTCTGGAGCGCAATTATGGGGACAAAATCACTGTGGACCATATCTCTGCATGTCGTCAAGTACTTTTCTGGCCAAGAGAATGTCAAGACATGTTCCACGCTGACCTTCTACAGCACTTAAAGAGGGCGTTGTCTTTATATACCATCCGGACTCGTTGTTCTTCCGATCCAAGATGGGCCCACAAAAACTTGTGGCGCAAATGTTAAGTGCGCTCCCAAAGCAAGCAGTCAAAACTTGGCATCTTTTTCCCTCTTTCCGCACGCTGCGCAGGTTGGGCACTAGCTAGAAATTGGGCGCTAGCTAGATCTTCAAAGTTGACGTCACACAGGCAGATGCGCTGGGTGACTAAAAACCACTGTGCGCCGCTGACGTCAGGGGGACTGGCCTGTGTTTGGGGAAGCGGTTGTATTCACCCACTCAACGATTGCTCTTTCTGTGGGGCTTCTAGCACAGGAGACGCCTAGATTAGATCACATCATTTGCAGGTCTACTGCACCCACACAGAGCCAAACTACTCCCTCCCTTGGCAAAAGAAGCGGCAATACTCGTCGACGGGGTCCGGGTTCATGTGCGCAGGGCGGCGAGTGCTGACAAACGCGCATTGCGTAGAACATCACACACAGGTACGCCAATCATCGACCATATTCTAAGGATGGTGCAGCTTCGTTCAGGACAGACCTGATTGTTCAGACTTGTGCCAGGATCCAGAGTATGGGTTTCGAGAGAGCAGAGGTTTCTACTCTGAGCTCCAATCTGGTATATGACTAAGCAAATGTCCTTGGATTTGGGGAGGTAGGCGGAAGCTCGAAGTTTGGGTGTTACCTTGGCAGGCTGAAGCTTATAGTCGGGGCTAGGATGCGGCGTTCGTTGTGGGTAAGAGCCACGCTAAAGTGGCTCCAGAAATTCGAAATGTTCAGAAGGCGCGTTTCACACTCGCGGTATTTGTTTGTTACTCTTACGGGCCTACAGGCCAATGAAGCTCCGATTTACGACAGGGCATTGCCAAACCCCAAGCAAAGCGAGTCCTCTTACGGCTGGTTTTCTATGAGAAGCTTGTGCCCGATCCGCGCAGGAATACCACATTGACCCGTCCATTAGTCCGCGACAAACTGTTGGAGCAGCTTGAAATTGGAGTCTTGATGTTATCTCGTCCTTCCTTTTCGAGATTTGTCAGAGGTACCATACTGAGCCATACGTGCCATACTGAGCGTTGCAGGTGAAGGTAAAGCGACGGGGTGACGACACCAAGTTCGTTGCAACGGTGTTGGCGATCGGGACAGAGTGCGACATTGCACTGTTGACTGTGGAAGACGAGGCGTTTTGGCGGGATGTCGAGCCGCTCAACTTCGGAAGCTTGCCGCGGCTGCAGGTAAGCGGCTCCGTTTCGTCTCACTCTATAGTGCTGCTCACTTTACTGGTGTTTGTCATTGTGGGAAATTTGCCGACACCACATATTGCGCAAGTATTGCTGGTTTTTGTGGAACGGTTACTGGATACCGCCCATTGACTGTTCTTCAAGCTTCGTCTCGACCTGTGTGAATGCAAGAGCTGAGATGACTGGCAGCGGATCAAAGCAGAGGACTTTTGAAGGCTACGTTCAGCACTTTGAAGCTTTGTTGCAAAAATCGTCCGAGTCTGCTTCATCAGCTGTTGTCGAGATGCTATAGGGCAATGAAGCAGTTCAGGTGAGTGTATTGCTCATAGCCAGCTGCGTGGCTCTCTGAAGCCCTACTGTATAAGGCTAAGGTTCTCCTACATAACCTTTTCTGTCAAAGTTTTGCTTGAATACGTTAGGTTTCTCTGAACACACGGTTACAAGATCTTCTTACCAAAAAGTCTGAGACGTTCCCATCCATGGCTTGAGATCAACACAGTCAACGTATTGTGGATGACATTGAAAACCTAGAAAACAGCTTTCTAGTGTTCTCGCAATTTGTGTTGCCAGGATTCGCCTGTCCAATGCGATTTCCCTTTCAACGTGGCATTCAGATTGCAGAAAGGCATTTTTTGGCTTAGCAGGGGCTTACCCAATTGTTGACGTCAAAGCCCGTTGCTCGACTGGCTGATCCGCTCTCACAGAGCAGGTTGCGCCTAAGCGAGCGGATCTGAGGCAGCTGGTGCTGATGTTTGGGTGCTTTGAAATTCTGCCAAGGGTTCAGTAGATTTGGTGCCAGCCATTGCTCTTGTGCCTGCCGTTCTGGGGGTGCGCCCCCAGCCGAAGTCATAGCTGTCAAGCCGTTTTCGCCGGGATGTGTTTGTCACGGGTTGGCTTCAATGAGCGATCGATCCCGCGTAGTATGACTGAGCAAAAAGAGTAAACAAAAGATGCAGCGTGAGCTTGGGGCGTTGAGATTCGTGTGCAAATTTCGTCATGTTTTGTGGTCGCCCGTAATTTCGGCGACCAACCACAAATGCTGATAACACCCCGGCTTCGCTGGCAAACAAGGTTGGCTTCCTGGCTGGACGGTATATGGAGAGCAGCTGTTGCTCTGACCTTCCGCATGCTTCGATGTTTCAGGACTTGAATGTTGGTCCAAGATAAGGTCACCTGTCATGATCTAAAGCCGAGTTTCTAAATTGATTTGGTTTTTACATCCGGTCATTGCGAGTATCAGGATGAGCTTTCTTTATCAGGGTCTACGAGCCTGTAAGCACGCAGGGATTCAGAACAGTTGTCAGCAATGCTTACAAGCTTCCATGCATTGTGAACACACTGCGGAGGCTGAGACGACTTAGACGAGGATGCAAACACGGTTTTGCACATGTTCAAGACGCTGAGCCTTTTGCTAGTAAGCCGTGAAATGGAAGACAGCAAAACTTCTACGGTTGCTTTTCCCGAGTTTGTTCTGGGACGCTCAGTCGATGCTGAGAGTGTTTAATGAGGGCATCAGGCGTTGTAGACGTGCGCGATCATATGGCAAAGGGAGTAAGGAGCAAATATAACTCGAGCTCGGTCTCCCTCTGTATTTTAACACTTTGACAGTATCTTGACGAGCAGGTTTTCTATGCGCATCCAGGCCATCCCGCTCCTTGCCAGTCTTTGAATCCTCCAGGCTTTCCAACGCTGGTCATTGCATCTGCTATGGTCGGGTTTCTTAGTCCGCAAGTGCTTTCTTATTGCGCCCGTCAGTGACAAACAGAAGGACGGCACGTGCGTTGCTTGACTGCCGTTCAGGTTGGGCTGACGAGGGACACGAGTTTTCTGATGAATGGTCGCACTGGTAATCAGTCGAACGAGTGACCTGGGCTCGGTCTTTCATTCTTCCTTCTCCTCAGGATAAACCAAGAGTCGTTGGATATTCAGTCGGGGAGGACACCTTTTCAGTAATGAGCGGAGTCCTGTTGCAGAATGGCTTGCAGATTGAATGTATTGCCTACCTTTTGCTCAGTCCGGAGAGACTCGTCAGATACTCCATTGGGAAAGATTCAATTCAATAAGAAGCAGAGCTGTTTCGCAGATCGAAGTGACTTAGTACCTGAGTTTGCTCTAAGCACTTTTCCTTCTAGTCAGGACGGAGCAACAGTTGTCCGATCCAATACCGATTGGCCTGGGGAACACCATCTCTGTGACCCACGGAGCCATCCTGCACATTAAGAGACTACCGACCTATGTTTGACCGGAGTGCGTTTCGACCTTTCATGAAGGAGTAATCGTCGTCGGATCATCAGGCTTCCACAGGGTAGAACATCACCTTTGTTACGAGCGGCGCCGTATCCCGAATTCAGTTTACGACCTGACCCTGAATCGTTGCCTTCCTCCTTTGCAGGATGGAGTAACCGTTGTCGGGTATCCGATCGGGGGCGACACGATCTCGGTGACGAGCGGCGTCGTATCGCGAATCGAGGTGACTAGCTACGTGCATGGGTCGACTGAGCTGCTCGGGGTGCAGATCGATGCGGCCATCAACTCAGGTAAAGTCTTATGTCTCACTTCGGTTCTTCTATCATCATTCTCTTTCTTGTCGCACCCCTGACTCGACTTTCTCGTGATATCGTGCGACTTGCCTTGTGTCCTCCTGTTGTTTCCTCTCTCAGTGGTCGGTCGTAGGCTTGTCATCGTCTGGGCTTACCAGCATTAAGCTTGGGGAAAATATATCCAAGTATGATGTCCAGCGAATATGATACCGCTCCGGAAGTAAATGCTCTCACCTCAAAAGTATTTCTTTACAACGCTTGGAACACAGAACGCTGGCTATGGTTATTTTGCAAAGGACTGTCTTCAATCTGAAATTCAGTAGCTTCAGTCGCTTTTGAGCTCAGTTTCTTTGACAACCAGTGCCCACTTCCGTTTGTACGGCACCGCCGCGCTGCGACTAGATGTCCCAGCAACCAAATCGCGGCCGACTGCAACCCCGCAATCCATTGACAGTTTTGCGAGCCTGCATCTTGTTGCGAGAGGGCTTGGAACGTGACCCCCGTCAAGAACGTCTTGACCAGCTGCTAAGGACGTTCTTACGCCGATTGTACTTTGTCGACTTCACAAGCAGACTCTAAGGAGACGAGTCGTGATGTTCCTTGTTACAGACGGATGAAGCGTACCTATCTGACGACCTCTCACCCCAATCCGTAACGAATCAGGGCCGACCAGCTTCTGGGGAAGGAACGCAGAGCCGCTGCTCTCACACTGGAATAAACGACGTTTGTCGTGGTTGAGCTAACAAGAATCTCAACCCGCAGATGACAGCCGCCGCCCCGTCGTCAACTCTTGGGAAAGTCACTCCATAGAAAGAGTCGCTAACTTAGATCGCGTCTCGATTCTCTTGTTAAGCCAACGAGATTTGCACCCCGCAAATAACAGCGGCAGCCCCACCTTCCGGGGGGAGTGCTCAGTCGACAGAGTCGATAGTGTGATACTTTCATAATGCTTTCATGGTTAAGCTAACAGGCTTTTTAACCCGCAGGTAACAGCGGCGGGCCCGCATTCGATTCCCAAGGTAAGGTGCTCTGTCGAGATTCGAGTTGTGATCTATTACCGGACTCATTTTTACTGTTGAGGTAACGAACTCTTCAACTCGCAGGTAACAGCGGCGGGCCCGCGTTCAACTCCCGGGGGGAGTGCGTCGGCATCGCCTTCCAGTCGCTCAAGTCGGAGGACGCAGAAAACATCGGTTACGTCATCCCAACCCCCGTCATCAACCACTTCTTAACCGACTTCGAGCGGAACGGGCAGTACACGGGTTTTCCGGCGCTAGGCATTGCGTGGCAGCGAATGGAGTCGCCAGCGCTTCGGCAGTCGCTGGGGCTGCGGAATGATCAAAAAGGAGTGCTGATACGGAGACTGGAGCCGACTTCGTTTGCCTACAACGTGCTCAAGGAGGTGAGGGTGGTGAAAGTTGTTTGGGTTTTCGTGTTGTGACTGTAGCTGGGGTTACTGAACGACCGGAAGGGAGTGCTTATCCGGAGATAGGAGCTTGTTTCGTTTGCTTACAACGTTTTCAAAGAGGTGAGGGGCTGTTGAACGTGCAAAGGCTCTGAAGCTATAAAGTTATCCGTTTTTGCGGCCAGTCCTTGTGTAATTCAAGGATTTCAGGAGGGTGCTCGCTAGAAGGAGTGAGCCGATCTTGTCTGCATACGACCTTGCCAAGAAGTTGGGCGATGTCTCAATCTCTGAATCTTTTTGGGCCACCGGTTAGTCTTCTGTTACGGCAGTCGTAGGGGCGCGGAAAGCAACTGAAGAGTTCGCTGCTTGGAGATTGGGTAGCAGATCTCTCGTTTCCGAGTCATTTTTTGAAGCAGAGAAAGTTTGCTGCGGTTTCGTTGTTTGATGAGGAGGCGTCTCAAAGGGGTTCCTTGAGCCTAAGTAGAAGTCACGGAAGTGTTAGCTTCTTGTTTTGGACCCCTGAAGTGCACAGGCGAAACTAACTCTGATGGGAGACGATAGCATCCCAGTCAAAGACCGCACCATGTCACTCTGCTCGAGGAAGCGGATAGTCTCTTGTACTTGATGGGTACTTGAACACCGTTGGATACACGACTCTTCGCGAATCGCCATTAGTTTGTAATCTCTCATTCATCTTTCTTGTGCAGGGCGACGTCATCCTGAGCTTCGACGGAATTCCGATTGCAAACGACGGAACCGTGCCGTTCCGGTCGGGGGAGCGGATATCGTTCGGTTACTTGGTTAGTCAAAAATACACGAGTGAGACGGCGACGCTGCGGGTGTCGAGACAAGGGGAGGAGGTGGACGTGGACGTGCGATTAAGAATACCCAAAAGACTGGTGAGCTGCAGACGATGTCGTTATGAATTCAACAACCTTGCTGAATCCAGGAAGTGGTGCTTCAATTTAGATTCTAGTACGAGTCTTGAACGCGTGTACGATAACAGTGTGAAAGAGGAATGCGCTGATGGTCTTCAGACAAAGAGAGGAGATTGACGTTGGGCAATGAAAATCACTCAAAGCGTTGGAAGGTTCGACTGTTGCACGGGACGTTGTGTTACTCGATAGTTGTGTCGGGCCAATCTCGGAGTCATTCCAGCATGGTGTTTTGTGTCATTCTCTCGTGCACGAAGTCCGTCTCTGAACACAAACTCGTGTCTCCAAATCGAGTCTGATTGCAAGTCTCAACGGGTTTGTCTACTTGATAAATGCCCGCGCTTGCTCTGGAAGCAACTAGAATAGATTCGCCGCCGTTAGATTCTTTCCAAGAATCCAGCAAGCAGTTCCAAACTCTCCTGTCTTCCGCTCAGTCGAACATAACGAGCCTTTTAACGTGTCCAAGGCAATCAAGGGGCTCTAAAGCCCAAGCGCTGATTGACGGAGTGCTCGGACAATCCATCCTTGCATGCCAAGTTTGCTTTTCTGGGATGCCCGATCATACGCGCGTCATTTAGATAGACATTTCGTTCGGTCCGTATGACTACAGGTGCCAGTACACATCTTCGGAAAGAACCCTTCTTACTTCATCATTGCGGGACTCGTCTTCACGCCGGTTTGCCAACCGTACCTAGAGTCTGAGTATGGAAGCGACTACGATTACGATACACCAGTAAGCGGCGGCATCCTCCTATCAGTTTTTCAGTCTTTCAATCCCTGTTCATCTCATCGTCCTCTGCGGTGCGTCGTCGACAGTCTTACATCTTTAGCTTGGAAAAAGAGGACGTTCAATGGTAGCTGCAAAGCCTGGCCAGCTAACGTGGACGACTTTTGGTAAGCGGAGCACTTTGGGTGCGGGGCTAATCCATCCTCACCCCCACGCTAAACTTCCTTACTTATCGTTGAGGTTGGAGAGTAGCGTACTTTCCAGTCTTAAATCAAGCAATTCTGGAAGCACCACAAGTATGGTTCCACTTGAGCGAGAGGAGAGGTCAAGTCTCAAATCGCTACCTAGTCACTCTAGGTAACCTTTTTGAGTCGACGAGCCCAACCTTCGACCCAAAAAGGTTGTGTCCCAAAGACACACGGAGTGGAAACATCGACACGTCGGACTGACGATGCCAAAAACGCAAGTCAGTTCGGACTTAACCCGGATGCGTGATAGATTCAACTTTCTCGAGTCAACCGTTGAGACTTGGTTCGGTTGTTGCAGGTAAAGCTTCTCGACCGGATGCTGCACGGCATGGCGCGCAGCGACGACGAGCAAGTAGTCGTGTTGTCCCAGGTGAGCGTTTCCAGGACACTTTTGCAAGCCGCCCGAACCCAGGGGTTTTTACAAGCTTTTCTGGTGGTGGAAAATGACAGTGAGGAGGAAGCTGAGAGTTCTCGGTTTTCCGCATCACAAAACCCTTACTGTCAGCCCTGGCTCCGCTCTAGCTGGATCAGACTAAGATGACGTGATGCCACAGGCTAGCGTTCTTAGAATTATCCCCAGAATGTTGGACTCTACTCTTCTCAGAACCTTTAAGAACCACCCAACTCGGAGTACTCAAGTCTTGTGTCCTCTTTGCTCTAATTCGCTTCTGAAGAATGTCCCAAAAAGGTATCAGTCTACTGGGGCAGGTCAGCCTTCATCTTAGGCTGCGCCACCTTTTCCAGCCTGCGCTTTCACAAGCCTTCGGGACCTCAAAACCTGCTGTTTCAATCAGAATTGTGCTTCGGTGCTTGGACCTGAGTCTCTTTCCTGGACCTGGAGACCTGGGACTTTGTCCTTTGAAGCTCGCCCCTTATCGTGGTTGCGATGGGACAGAATCTGAAAGGGGATATGGTACTCTTCAAACGATCTGAACCTTTCTGAACCACGAGCGCTTTGTTCAGTAAAAGACCACTGTTAGCAAGTGCTGGCTGCGCAGGAGGACACGGAAGTGTGAGGACCAGGGAACGTCAATTGGGTCTGCGATTAAAGTCTGATTGCTGCTATGCAGTTTCGGGTCGGAACAAGAGTTCAAAGGTTTTGATCAGCCGTGTCTCTCTTTTCTGACACGCCAAACGTCAGGTTGAGTCGGATTCCATCGACACGTGTTACGGTGAAAACATTTTGAGGAGAGCAAAGGCGGATTCAGGTTGCAAATTAACCCATCTTTTCCCTCCACTGCAGGTATTAGCACATGACGAGAACATCGGTTACGAGGACCTGAGCAATCGGGTCGTGATCCGGCTTAACGGCGTTGAGATCCGGAACATCAAGCAGTTGGCCGAGCTGGTAGAGAGTGAGCCCTTAGCCCCCAAAATTTTATCTCTTCCCTCTTCCGTAGCTGATTTTTGCAACAAGATTCGTCAAGAGACGAAGGGATCTGGGCAATCTCGGTTTGCCCGTTTTTCTGTGCTCCTGGTCAATGGAGGTTGTTAGGAATGGGCTCCAGTCATTTCCAGAGTTACTGCAGGCGACCATCGCACGTTTAATCTGCTGGAAGAGGTCGCTCGTAGACTGCAGGGTGCCGGCGTCGTTGTGAGTCGTGCTTTGAAGAGGGCGTCTATCGTTGTGGTTTTGCTGCAAGTTGGACCCAATCTTTTGCGCTTCTGTCTCGATCTGTATACATTAACCTCAAGATCCAACAAATAAGATCCACCATTCGTGGCGAAGACTCAGCTTAATCACCAGGTAGTAAGTCGCCGTTCTTGACGTAAGGCTCAGACAGGTATTTGTCCCAAGTCATGAAGTACGTAGTCAGGTTTTATTTGACACTTTCGCTGACTAAAATGTTTTGTGCCTGCAGGCTGTCAAGACCCGTTCCTGAAGTTTGACCTAGAGTACAACGAGATGCTTGTCCTGGAAAACGCAGCGGCACGGAGGGCGACCGCGCAGGTTCGTTCTCCGTCCTTTCGTTTCTGCTCCGGAAGCCTCGAACCGCGGAACGGAATGCTACTTCACACAAGTCCGGAAGGTGTACAAAAATGGTGTGGAGGAAGCCTTTGAAAGAGTGGTTCTCAATTTTGAGCAGCACATGCCGCTGGTTGCGTTCTGTCTGTTTCAGTTCTTCAGCGCCTCTCTGTTTCTGTGTACGAATGCCCCACAGTCTCAAGAGACTGCCAAAGCAGCGCTCGCTTTGCTTGATCCGTTTGAAATTGCCTGAAGCTGCTTGCTTCGAGTTGGTGATTGTGGGGTCTGGTTCTGGCCAGGGACTCATTTGATTAGGGGCAACTCTGACTTTGGCCGATAAGGCTTTGGATAAGCTGAAATCCAAGAACAAGAAAGGGAACACTTTCTTATCAATTGTAAAAACCCACTACGTATTGGAAAGGGCCACTTCTCCGCTCTAGTTATGCTTTTGCTCCCTCCTCGTAGGCGAGTCTGTGCCGTTCTCACGACATGTATATTGATTGAGTCTGCCCTACTATGTTTTAAAAACTGGCACACTGACAGTTTGGATAGATGGAACAGCAACAGGGATCCGATGGTCAAACAAATATTAAAGCAGGCATCGTCATTCCGTCTGGCGTTATCCATCTGAACCCTTTCCTTTTCTTGCTCAACAGGTGTTGCAAGATCATTGCATACCGTCCGCTCGATCCGCGGATCTTGTTTCCACACCCGTAACGGAAGTGGAAGAGAATACGGAGAACGGCAAGCCTGCTTGATGGCAAGGTCGCCTTTTGTAGCATGCGCCGCGGCAAATTTGGTTTGGCAAGACTTTGATAATCTGGTTGAGAAGCAGCTAGCTGGTATTGCAATAATTGTTCACAAGATCGATGGGGCTAATAAACCAATGCAGGTTCTTAGCCTGCTCTCATGCTGCACTAGTTTTTTTGTGCGATGGGTCGAGCGGATTCTTAAGCAACCGCGTGCGTTGTCATGCTCAAGCTGCATGAATCAAAGTATATAGCTAGGATACTGTCATTGTGTGACGTGAGGGTCAATGGTAATAATACATGATCAATTTGATCCATCACCGGCCGGGCATGATATGTTGTATACTAAATAATGCTTGAATTGCCCGGCCAGCTCTCATAGCCTCAGCTAGCCTGAACCTGCATCCACTAGCGCGAGCTTAAAGAACCGTCCATCAAGTCAACATGCGCACGGCGGCCTCGACTCGGTCATGCATGCATGCAGACTTGCCTACTAGCTTTCTTGAGTCTCGTAGTACGACGGTATATGGTCTGAAGCTCAAGAAAGAAGCTCGAGTTCCGAGTCAAGAAAGAGATTCGAAGAGTTCAAAGAAAGTAAGATTATCTAAAAGCATGATCTTCATTATGATATCAGCCACTCATGCAATACTAGTACGTTTCTTGCATCATGGTGCATGAACCGGCATGCATGCCTGGTGTCATGCCAAGCGGCCACTAGCGGCACGAGCGGGCCCGGCGCTGTGCGCACAGTCTGCCCCGGGCCTGCTGCCGTGATTGGGCCGCATACGATGCCAGCATATCCAATGCACTGAGAGCTGCCCGTTGCAGTGGATTGCAGCGTAGATGTCTCTCAGTTCAATTTCGAAAAAGCAAGGTCTAGCAAAAGTAAGCTCACTGTCAGCTACCGTACTACTCAGGCTTGTGACACTAACTCTAGAAAAACCTTACCAATAACATCACCCGCTCCGCACCCAGACCCACCATATTACCCCCATGCAAAGTACGTACGGTAACTTACCCCACCCGTCCCAAGCCGCCCCAGTGGTCAGCTTTATTTTTGTTAAAGCCTCCTTCTACTTAGCAGTGAACTGAAGCTTCGTGTGCAGTCCCTGAGTGACAGCGTAGTGCTCAATGTGACACTGCAGGCCGTTTGGTTTGCAATCATTACAAGATTCTGGATAAGGATGCACAGCCGGAGAGCCTCTTTCCCGATTGGTTCAAAATAAGCTCACACGTCCACGTGACCATGGCCGATAATACACGCAATGAAAATGGCCTCCCTAACCGGGAGGCCTTTTCGGGGTCAAGGAGAGGTTTAGGAGTTGTTTGGGGTTTGCGGTTTGGCCGGTCAGGGTTCGGAGGAGTTTGCTGTTCGATTCTGAATCTGGTTCGGGGCCAGTTTGGGAATGATTGACTTGCAGAGGTTTGGAAACGGTGGATGGGCGCACCATGTGACGGTGTACGCCTAGGATCCTACCGGGATCTTCGGGTAGTACGTATGTTGGGCAGGGAACGAATAAGAATGAGTCTATTAAAGGTCGGGGGAAGTTAAGAGAGGGTCAAAGTAGAAGATTGGGGTTAGTTTGTGGAACAACTTAACCAGTCAACCAAGTCAAGGCCACGTGGAACAACCGGTAAGGGTTTAGCCAATAGGATCCCGAATAAAAAGCCTTACCGCGAAAACGTCATGTCAACAAGGGAGGCAATCAATGTCGCTACGGGTCCGGACTCCGGGGCCGACCGTTATTTTAGGAGGCCGACCATGTTGTTCGACGTCCGACTGGAGTTCCCAGCCCGACAATACGCCAGCATCGCCCGGTCTCAGTACACGACTGCCCAGTGCTCAGGCGGCCACGAAGCCCGACTCAGGTTTAATGACCTTCCGGCCGATGCCTTGCCCCCGGTTGGCCGCCGGTATGGCTCGAGCCTCGGACTGCCTTGATACTCTGTGAACTCGTACGTCTATTGTACCTGCGAAGGTACTCGCATACCGGTTTTGGTATGGAGGCAGACAGCAAACCTGCCTACCGGTAGACGTACAGCAGGTACGGCAGTACGGTATGCACTGTGCAGGCTGCAGGCAGCTGGCTGCAGTACCTGTCCTGTAAAACTTCTCATACGCTATCACAGAATCTGCTCAGATTCCGCCGGCCAGTAGTTAGCAAGCCTGGACACAGTCTCTGACAGTTCTGTCGGCCAGGTTTTTGCGTGTACCGGTATCTTTCTGAGTACCTACTGTAGGTACAAATGCCCTACAAATAATCCCTAGAGACTAGAGCTGGCGGGGGCTAATTGCGATGGTGGTGAGCAACAGACTGTGTACGTACCGCCGGTACCGTGTTTGCATGCAGCTCAACAAGGACTGCTCTGTTGCCTGTACAGTCTAGGGGCACAATCAATCCCACTCAGCAACAAGTAGGCCGGGTACTCAACGCTACAAAACGTGGTCCCAAATGCGAGCTGGTGTTCTGCATTCGATTGCTGCGCGATATTTCCTGCATTCGCCTTGGCGCCTGTTGACTACGACGTTTCGCCAGTGGGCAGAGGGAAAGGGACGAGCTTTCAAATTGGGCGTTGAGAAGGTGAGTGAAGTTTCTTCTGTCTCAAGGCAGGAAATTTTCAATTTACACATTGAACGTTTGCGGCGTCATCTGGACAATATGCGCAAGCATTTGTCTGACGTGTACCCAGGTGCAGAATGCTGGCGTTTCGTTTGTTCTTGGAGTACTGTTGATAGTTCAATGGCTTTGGCCTTCGTACATTGGGCTCTCGCTGGTCTTCCTCTCCCATCACTCACTTTCTCTTCATCTGATGGCTTCGATTGTATGCGTTTGCGAAAGGCAACCTGGTGCTTGTGCAATCCCAAACAAGATGATTACAGTTGTTTCGTCGATTGTCCTGCAAAGCCAAGTGAAAAGACAAGTAAAACCGCACCACCTTTTGACGTTCTTGCTCCAAAGTTGAAGCAATCAGTCTGACACTTTTCATTTTTTTGTTATCGAAGCATCCTGCAGCAGCATTGACTGAAGAATCATGTCGTCTGAAAGAAAATATCAAGCAATGAGCGCAGCCTTCATTCCAATGTTACGATGGCTTATGAGTACAAGGCAGACTACAGCCACTAGAGTCAGTCCCCCCGATCCCTGAGCTGGTCATTCTGAATGTTGACATCAGCATTACGTATGATACCCTGCAGGTCTTGCCACAATGAAGGCCTCTGCTGTTCTTCTCCTGAGCGCAGTCCTGGGGGCGTGCTGCGTGCTGGCAGCTGCAAGTGAGCCTGGTGAGTGTCTTCACACTCTGCAATCGGGTTGGGCCTACAACGTTTTGTTTGAAAGTGGGCTGAAAGATCGAAAGCTGGAACATTTGTTAGGAGGGAATGTGAATTGTATGCCACCATTGTATTGTCCAGCCTACAGATTGCTGTTTCCAGCGGAGATTTTGACCTTTCTATACTAAAGTCGCATGGCATACCCCTTGAATCATTCCTCTCCTTTTGGACTGGAACACTCTTATTGCCAACCTGAAAACTCTACTTTGGACCATAAAACTTCCACTGCTCGTAGGAAATCTGTCTGCACTACTGGCCGTTTCTCTTTCTGAAAACATACGCGCATATGCGCATGCTACTGTTCTTCAGAAGTTCAGCTCTTTCCAGCCCAGGGTTCCTTACATTCACGTCCAGACACTGAAAAATATATAGGCCCCCTCAAATGTGAGACAAAATCATGCTTCCTGAGCTCGCCTTTGACAAATATCTGAGATTCAAACTTGAGGTTCAAAGCAAAGCTCAACCACTGTATTCTTAATCTAGGACTTTACTCAATGCTGTACTTTTGCTTTTGAGTCAACTCCCCACAAACATTGTCAACCACACATCTTCTATTCATCAGTCATCTAGGACTCTACTCAACGCTGAACTCTTGAGTCAACTCACCTGAACATTGTTAAACCACACGCTTCCAATGCATAATACTTCTCAATTCTTTTGGCAGCAACCTGGGCTACTGCTCACTGCCAGTGCACCAAGGAGCGCGCCATTGTTTGCGGCGCGGATGGCACCTCTTACCTAAACAAGTGCTGGGCTGAGTGCTCCGGAACCACTGTAGAGCACGAGGGCCCTTGCGGCAAACTGGGTGAGTGATTCTTTGTTCCTTTCCTACCATACATTTCCTTCCTATGGTGGTTTTTGAGTGCTTGGCTCCGGGTTTTTGCAGGAAAAGCGCTGGGTGCTTTATTGTTTCGTTCATACATGCCGCAGCTTTTTTCGCTCCAAGTGTGGTCTTTGGGTGGTAAGCTGGTTGAAAGCAGGTTTCTTTGACATTTCTTTCTGCTTTTCCAAAAGGGTTTCAGTGCTTTGGTGGTGGTGTTTGCAGCAACTCTGGGTGTCTGCATGTGTCTTCCCTATACATCCCTTTGCCTTTTGAGACCCAGAATTTGACTACTCCAGGTGTAGTCTTTGTGTGCCAGCTTAGCAAGTGCATGTTTATTCTTACATTCTCACGCTTTTTCAGAGGATTTTTGTATGCGGCAATGGTGGTTCTGACTGGCAAGCTGGGTGATAACACGTTAGCTTTCTACACCGTCCTGGAAGTCGAGTGTTCCACTGTCAATGTTTGAGTGGCTGTTGATTAAGTGCAGGTTTCTTCCTACGTTCTTATGCTTTTTCAGGACTTTTGCATTCTCCAGTGGCAATTGATGCAGAGAAAGTGGATATCACACATCCCCTTTTGTAATGCTTTGCATTATCATTTAATCCCCTGTGTTCTATTGGAGGATGTCCATCAAGCACGGCGAGTTTGCTTTTCTACATGCTTTGCATTATAAAGAGTTCAGTTTCTTTAGTCAATCTGCATGAAGTGGGTCAGCGCGTGTTTCCTTTCGCCATTAATTTGCTTTTCCAGAGGACTTAAAATGTTCAAGGTGTCGTGTTTGTGTGGCAAGCTAAGCGAGCATAGGTTTCTTCTTTATTATTTAAGCCTCAGTAGAAGCACCATAGAGATGGGCCTGTTATTGGGTGACGTTGTGGCCTTACAAGAATGGAGTACACCGAGCAACTTCTGGCAGCAGGCCCTTTAGTGAGGTGGGTGCATCAGACCCATAAAAGGTGCAGCTTTGTAATGGTGACCAGCCAACCACGTTTAGAGACAAAGATCATCCGCTTTGCTTCCGATTTCCAGCTCTAGATGTAATGACATGATTTGAATAACAGAACTTTTCATCCAACTTTCTCGTCCAAAGCCGACCCTCTTTTATCAATCCACCCGCAGTTTCTGACGTCAGCGCCTGTGACTGCACCAAGGAGCGCGCTCTGGTGTGCGGTGCCGACGGCCACACTTACCTCAACAAGTGCTGGGCCGCATGCGTTGGAACTGAAGTCAAGTACGAGGGCGCATGCGAGAAAGGTGAGGTCGCGCGCGGTTTCCCACCACGAGTCCTAGAGCAGTTTCTAATGGGCCCCGGACCATGCATATTCTAACCAAAGTTCTGGGCTAAACAACCTTTGTTCCAAAAAAAATGGCAGAGATTTGCCGTCCAAGTTCAAGGCTTCCGAAATGCTTTCGTCTGAACTCGTTTTCCTGAGCTGTTCAAGCCTTGCTTCTGATCATCAGCGTTTGAGGAGTCCAACTCTCGTAATCTGTCCCGTCATGTTCCCCTGTGTGTTGACGGAATCACCTTTTCTGATGACAGTTGCTGACGTCAGCGCCTGCGAGTGCTCCAAGGACCGCGCTCTGGTCTGCGGCGCCAACGGCCACACGTACCTCAACAAGTGCTGGGCCGCTTGCGTTGGAACCGACGTCGAGCACGAAGGCGCATGCGAGAAGGGTGAGGGGCGGGCGTTTCAAGTTGCTTCGTTATACCAAGTTTTGGTTTAGTGGGCTCTGCAACAAAAACCAGCTCAGGAGCGAGGTCCAAGGTCCGTCCTACCTTGGACCGGCCGTTGATTTTATGTCAGACTTCCGAACCTCTTGCTTCTCTTTCCGGTATTACAACCTTGCAAGTGCTTGAATAACGTCAATCTTGTTGGAAGATGCTTCGAGCTTCAATTGTGCCATGAGTTGCGTCGTTGGCCTTCTTTGACGTCAGACTCTGCCTTTGCTCTGCAGATGCTGACGTCAGCGCCTGCGACTGCACCAAGGAGCGCGCTCTGGTGTGCGGTGCCGACGGCCACACTTACCTCAACAAGTGCTGGGCCGCATGCGTTGGAACTGAAGTCGAGTACGAGGGCGCATGCGAGAAAGGTGAGGTCGCGCGCGGTTTTCCACTGTACTGAGTCCTAGAGCAGTTTCTAACCAAAGTTCTGGGCTAAACAACCTTTGCTCAAATTTTTGGCTTTCGACAGAGATTTGCCGTCCAAGTTCAAGGCTTCCGAAATGCTGTCGTCCGAACGCGTTTTCCTGAGCTGTTCAAGTCTCCCGTCCTCCTAAACATCATTGTTTGAAGAGTCCCAACTCTCGTAATTCTGACCCGTCTTGCAATCCGTGTCCCAACGTTATCATCTTTTCTGATGACAGTCGCTGGCGTCAGCGCCTGCGACTGCACCAAGGAGCGCGCTCTGGTCTGCGGCGCCGACGGCCACACTTACCTCAACAAGTGCTGGGCTCGGTGCGTCGGCACTGACGTCGAGTACGAGGGCGCATGCGAGAGAGGTGCAATTGCCCGCCCGCCTCTCAATCCTTCCATTGTCTGGAGTCCTGAAACCGTCGCGACTGGGCTCGAATTCAACTTCGTGCCGTTCTTCTTTCAGTTACTTGCCACGGTTTTTGATCAGGTCGCCAACAGGTCTCCTATCAACATCATCAATCTTCATAACTTTAGTCAAACCTGCCAGTCAAGTTTGAGGCTTCGGAATGCTTTCGTCCGATTTGTTTCCTTGACCTGTTCAATTCCCAAATTCTGCAAACCATCAGCGTTTCAAGAGATCAGCTCTCTTTGTCATTCCGCATCACGCACTCCCGTTCCCATCGGAATTATCTTTTCCGAATAGCAGTTGCTGACGTCAGCGCCTGCGAATGCGGCAAGGAGCGCGCTCTGGTCTGTGGCGCCAACGGTCATACTTACCTGAACAAGTGCTGGGCTGCGTGCGTTGGCACTGACGTCGAGTATGAAGGAGCCTGCGAGAAGGGTGAGGGTGGGATACACTATCACACGCCTTTCTTTCGGCCTGGCCTTGCCCTTCTAGCGAAGTGATGTGATGGGTAAAAGGGCATGGTATGTTAGTAGTATCAGATCGGTATATTATTTGTCTGAATGGTTTGCACAATCACCCACCTAGTATTGACTCAGATATCGGTTCAGAGAACATTGCGCGTGTTTTAATCCCCATCCGAGCCCTCTTCCCACCTTTCTCTCCTTTCTCTGCGCCCACCTATCGGTTTCATCGGCATTCCTTCCTTCTCAGACGTGATCGGAGCCCCCTTCTCTCCGCAGTTGCTGACGTCAGCGCCTGCGACTGCCCCGAGGAGCGCGCCGACGTGTGCGGCGCCGACGGTCACACGTATTCCAGCGAGTGTTGGGCCGAGTGTTTCGACATTGACATCATCCACCAGGGGCCCTGCACCGAGGGTGAGGCGTTCCGGCGGAACAGCGGATCGGAGTCGGACACGAAGCTTTGGAGGCCTTTTGTCGTCTCTCCATCGCACTTTGTCTTCTAAAAGTTGCTCCTGCTTCGACTTTTGTTGCTTTTGTCCCCTGCCATTAGTGTCCCCTTCATCGCACGGGAAAGCTGCTCCTCTCTCACTCAGCGAGTTCCCTTTTGTTGACAAGCTCTGTCGCTGATAGTTCCACGATGTACCAAAGGGCTTTGATACTCGAAGTTCCGTCCCTTCCATAAGAAAGTAGCGCTCTTCGACGCCAAAGGAGAGGATTTATCACCTTCTTGAACGAACGTTGCTCTGGTTTCCTTTTCTTTCACTAATTCCAGCTTATACCCGAGTCAACACTTCTGCTCACCGTTTACTGTTGTCAAAGTAAAGCATTGAAAACCGGAGATAACGTTTACCCGTTCATTCCGTCCCAGCTTTGGAGAACCCCCCCTGCGCGTGTACCAAGGAGCGCACTCTCGTGTGCGGCGCCGACGGCCATACTTACCTCAACCCCTGCTGGGCTGCGTGCTCCGGAACCAGCGTCTCCCACGAGGGAGCCTGCAAGAAGTGAGCCTCTTAAGTTGATTCTTTTCTGTGTGATTTGATGTTGAAACCTAAAACCTGAAACCCTAAAACGCCTTGTTGTAGTGAAGGTTTTTGTCTACATTAGTGGGTCTGGTGCTGAGTGAAAACAACCAAGGTTAAATGTCAGGAAAATTCTGAGGTTGCCCAAAATCAACTGCGCATGAGGCTGGCTGTAAACGTACGACGCCTCATGGCCAAAAGACGGTCGGCTTTCTGCTTAGAATCATCGGAGCCATCTGCGGGTTTTGGCTTTGGCCCCTTTCAAGCCTGGTATTCCCTCGAATCAATCTGTCACAGCGTTTTGGTATGCGCCATGTGTTGAAATAACGGAAATCTCGCTCGTGGCCAATCTCGAAAGTGAGCTTTTCGCTTCTTGCCGCCCTCTTCATGGGTTGAGCACAACAACTTGAGCAAGCTGATTCTTCAATGTCGAAGTAACGCGTTGTCACTGCTCGTGTGCAATGACGCCTATATATCCGCCCCCGTGCCGCTCTCGCGCGCTTGGAACGCGCGTCAAAAACATATCAATCATTCGAAGGCAGTCACCGTTTGAGTATAGCAAACCTAACCCATTTTCGTTTCATCTTTGTAGGGACTCCAATGACGACCTCACCGCGTCGTGCCGCAACCGCTGCGCGCGCGGCCGCGCGCACCCCTTCTGCGGCGCCGACGGAGTGACGTACCCCAACGCGTGCTTCGCGGACTGCGCCGGGACTGACGTCACCAAGGCGGGCTTCTGCGAGAAGTGCCCCCTGACCCCCGAGAGCAAGAAGGCCAATCTCGCATGCGACACCGACGGTTTCACCTGGTACAACAAACACTGGCTCGCCTGCGCTGGCGCCACGTTGGCCCACGAGGGCGCGTGCGCCACGGCTGACGTCATCGAGCTGACGTCGTCGACCGAGTGAGTCTGCGCAGCTTTCTTGTCGCTTTTTCAGACTCTTTTTGGATCGTCGTGGCTCGCCTGCGCTGACGAAGAGTCGGATACAGGGCAGCGCGGCAAGGCTGACGTCATCGAGCTGAATCTGCGCAGCTTTTCAAAACGGCTGTTGTCGCTTTTGAGACTCCGATTCCACTTATTGTTTCCGGTACAGCAAACTCGCTTTTTTTTGGCAGGATTGTTACTGAAGCCGCCCCCTTCGTGCCGCGCCGCCTCCTCCCGCGCCTAGTCCAATCTTGACTGCCACTCCGACAGCTCAAATGTATGGTTTACCGAAGTAGCTTAACCCGAACCCTTGTCTTGCAGGATCTCCGCCGAAAACGCCGCCTCGTGTCGTACGGCCTGCCCCCGTGGCTGGGCGAACGTCATCTGCGGCTCCGATGGCGTCACCTACCCCAACGAGTGCCTGGCAAACTGTGCCGGTGCCGATTTCGGCAGTCTGGGTTACTGCGAGAAGTGCAATGCGCCCGAGGACTTCGAACCCGTTTGCGATGCCCTGGGTTTCACCTGGGTTAACAAGGGTTACATGGAGTGCGCCAAGGCGGTATTCGGTTACGACGGCGAATGCAAGGCGACCCCGGAATCGTGCGACGACTCCTGCGACAAGCACAACTTCGCAAACCCGGTTTGCGGCGACGATAACGTAACCTACCCCAGCAGATGCGCGGCGCAATGCGCGGGCGTCGCAGTTGCGCGCCGTAGTACCTGCGTGAAATGCCCGATCCCCATGATCTACGCCCCGGTTTGCGACACCCGGGGTTACACCTGGGTTAACGAGTACGACATGAAGTGTGCCGGAGGCGAGAAGGCGAAAGACGGCCCCTGCGGCGACTTCGACAAGGAGCTCCTGGCGATCGCCGAGATCGAGAAGAGGGTGACGTCATCCGAGTGCCAGAAGGCGTGCCCGCGCGTGCTCGCGCCGGTGTGCGGCATGAACGACAAGAGCTACGCCAACGAGTGCCGCATGGAGTGCGACGGAGTGGAGCTCAAGCACGAGGGCCGATGCGCCATTGTGTGAGTTTGTAAATCCCTTTTCAGGTTCTGCTTTCCATATTTGGTATCAAATTTCTTTACTTCGTGAACATGCTGAGACTCTCGGTTGACGGTGCATCGTGGAATGCACTCGAGTGGCAATGGGGGTCAAGCGCCCAGTCCAGCCGCTCGACTTGTTCACCTCGCTTCTTCTGTGAGCGCTGAACAGGCTTGCTAAACAAGTTGCTTCGATGCCCTTTCAAAGGGGCTGTCAAGACCTTTTTGTTTTGAATTAAGCAACAAGCAGTAGTCGCAGTCTGTTGGAAAGCTGCCTGACCGAATCGCTTGCAGCCCACCAGCGGAAGAGACGGTTTCCGGCGACCGCAATAGCGCTAGCAGTGCTACGGGCGTCGCCCACGTCATCCGATTGCATCACGCAACCGGTCCAATGCGAATACCCATGCAGACCCCCGAAGACTGACATTCCGGTCCCCTTGTTCTGCAGCCCCCCAGCAAACTCCGACTCGTGCGACTCCTGCGACAAGAGCAAGTTGGCGAACCCCATCTGCGGCGGAGACGACCAAACCTACCCCAGCGAGTGCGCGCTAAACTGCGCGGGGGTGGAAGTTAAGCACCGCGGGTTCTGCAAGTACTGCCCGACGCCCCGGCTCTATGCCCCGGTCTGCGACACCAACGGTTACACGTGGGTTAACAAGTGGGCGCTCGAGTGTGCCAAGGCCGAAAAGGCGCACGACGGCGCTTGCAAGACCGCTGACGTGGCCCTCTTGGCGGCCGCGGAACTGGAGCTGACGTCATCCGAGTGAGTCGACGGGTCTCGTTGGCATATGTACCGTTGGCTTCAAGTGGCAGCATTCCAGAATTGTTGAACATCCTCAAAGCTCTGTGTCAAGTCTAGGGTATTGTGGAGCGCGGGACGGCGGTGAAGAGAGTCAAGCAATGATCAAATGAGTTTTTTGGCTCTCACGAATGCTGAGCTGATCTGCTGATTCCATCTGCGTATCTGCTCGGTCTTTCTGAAGAAGGTTCCGTACCCTTTTTCTGGAATATGAAGTTGCAGTTTCGTTCGCTACCCATCATGTGCGAATCTCACTTCTAATGGCCCATCCGCCGTCACAAAAACGCCTTCTCCAGTTCCCTTTGTTCGTACACCGACAATTTCACTAATGTAAGGCGTCTACAGCCTTCGGTAGATTTTTTGCAGCCCCTCGAGATAGAGCGCAAAATTGGCTTGCCAGCGACCGTGATGCTTCTTGCATCCGGCCCTCTGCCCGGCGCTCTTCTCACAACGCGAAGCCCACCATGCAAATTTCCAAAGTTGGAAGTTTCACATTCCGCTCGTGTTGGTCTGCAGTTCCGCAGCGGAAGAAGCGGTGTCCGGCGAGTGCGACGACTCGTGCGACAAGAGCGGTTTCACGCGCCCCGTCTGCGGCGCCGACGGCAAAACTTACCCCGGCGGATGCGCGGCAAAATGCGCGAGCGTTGAAATCGCGCACGGAGGCGATTGCAAGTTCTGCCCCATTCCCCTGGCCATCATGCCGGTCTGCGACACCAACGGTTACACCTGGGTTAACAAATGGGCTCTTGAGTGCGCCGGCGCCGAGTTGGCGAAGTACGGCCCCTGCAGCGGTCTTGACGAGACGGTTCTGGCAATCGCCGAAATTGAGGAGTCGGTGACGTCATCCGAGTGCCAGAAAGCGTGCCCGCGCGTGCTCGCGCCGGTGTGCGGCATGAACGACAAGAGCTACGCCAACGAGTGCCGCATGGAGTGCGACGGAGTGGAGCTCAAGCACGAGGGCCGCTGCGCCATTGTGTGAGTCTGCTGAAGTCATTTCCCAATCTACTCTTCTTTTTCGTATTATAATCTCTCTCTTTTCACTTGTTTCCCGATTCTTACAAACAGTAGAACATCCGCGGAACTCTCAATGACGATGGGCTGCGAGGCAACGTCGACGAAGCCCAAGCGTTGAAATTATCGGTGAACTTGGAAGCAATTCTCCGTCAGGAATGTTTCCAAATCACTGCTTCGTATACCCTGGGCAGGCGTGTTCGTTTTGCAGAATTAACTCCTCATGACTCAACTTACTTTGAAAAGAAGGTGTGCCCGGTATCCGTATCAAAAAGTTGGTTCCCAGGTCGGTCTGGGCATACTGTCAGCTTTCCCTTAGGACGTACGCACCAGTGCCGCCATCTCAGAAACTGAGCCAAAGACTTTGACACGGTTCGGACGTCAGCAACTTCCTGATTGAATGGTTTGCGTCCTGCCAGCGGAGAAGCCTCTTCCTTGCGACTTCGATGACGCCACTAGAAAATGTGCGTCGCCCCGCCTCACCGTCGGGGTTGCAATCTCCTGAAAGCTGCACTTCCGGTCGTACTGTCCGCAGATTCTCACTGGAAGAGGCGGTTTTCGCAGTTCCATGACTTCAACGGCGTTGCGCGTACGGGCGTTGCCACGTAGCTCAGTGGGAAAGCAAGCCCAACCCACGCAGTTTTCTCACGAGCTGAGATCCCGCTGTGTGCAGTCTCCCAACGGAGGAAACGGTCTCCGCCTCGTGCGACGACTCGTGCGACAAGAGCGGCTTCGCGCGCCCCGTGTGCGGCGAGGACGGCAAGACCTACCCCGGCGAATGCGCGGCAGAATGCGCGAGCGTTGAAATCGCGCACGGCTACTTTTGCAAGCCTTGCCCCATTCCTCGGGTCATCATGCCGGTCTGCGACACCCAGGGTTACACGTGGACCAACCAGTGGGAGCTGCTGTGCGCCGGAGGCGAGAAGGCGAACGACGGCCCCTGCGGCGCCTTCGACGAGGAGCTCCTGGCGATCGCCGAAGTTGAGGAGAGGGTGACGTCATCCGAGTGCCAGAAGGGTTGCCCGCGCGTGCTCGCGCCGGTGTGCGGCATGAACGACAAAAGCTATGCGAACATTTGCCGCATGGAGTGCGACGGAGTGGAGCTCAAGCACGAGGGGCGGTGCGCCATCGCGTGAGCACATACATCCATTGCCAACCGTATTTCCTGGCTGAGTTCTGCCATATGAGGTCGAGTTCGGGACTGGATTAGACGCTTAGATTCCTTTGGCCGAATTGGACTTCACGCTTCGTCCTTCTTGACTCATTCGAACCTACTTTTCGTATCATAGACGGTTCGATTCTGCACTTTCTTTTTCCCGGACAATTCAGTCGTTCACTTCCGTCTTACCTTGGCTATCTGGATCGAATTCCCGTTTTCTTGTTTCTACTAGGTCATATGGGACTGTATGTCTGTTGCTTCCTAATCGCCTTTGCGGGCAGGCTGGTACAGCTCCTGGTTTCGTATCCTAGTTTCTGCTGAAGCGACGGAACCGCTTCCTTTTACTGACGGTTTTGTGATCCTAGGACTCTTATGATTATCATATCGAGAACGGTTTGCCAAGTCTTTCGGCGGATTGTTGCCTGCAGTTCCCAAGTGATCCGCGGCCTAATAACATTGGTTTGCGAGTGCGGTACCCTCTGAAAAATCTGACGTATGCGTTTGACAATTAGCTCAAAGAGGAACTGACCTCGTTTCTGCGTGTCTTCATCAGGGTTGTGTGAGGACGTACGCATACGCGCTCTTCTCGAAGGTCTGCGGCTGCTTTCAAGTGATGCCTCATCTCAGCCGAGACTTCCACTTGAGATCAGAAAAATCAGCGGTAGTGTTGAGGAAGTGTCTTACTTGACCCGTCAGAACTAGAAACGTGCGAGGTAGAAGTAGGGAGTACTTCAGTAGTGAGTATTCGAGTGAGTAGCGAGTAGTGAGAGCGTGACCCTGTTAATTTGGCATGTCACGAGCATGCAATTTTGGGTGTGGACTCGACTTTCTGAGCAGAATAAGGGGCTGGCACTGCAAGCAATTTGGATTGCGAGGATGCAGGGAAGACTTTGTGCGTATTTCTAAGATTCAAAGTGTTTAGCCCCAAACCAAAAGTGTGTTCAAATGGGTGCCAGAACATGATGCAGAATCGCGCTTCTCGGGCGTTTGCGTTGGCAAATCTTTGATTTTGTGAAATTTGGATTGCAATGTACAGCCGCGTATTAAGGCCGTGGATTGGCCCGGCTCCGCCGCCTGATTCGATTGCAAATTGTTACCTATGTTCCATGGGCGAATATGCGAGCTAAAGCCCAGCTAGCTGCAGCGTGGTACGTACCGCCTGGACCGCTGCACTGAGCAGACTGCCCCGCCTGTACACTTTTTAATTACTTGCCAAGGCGCGCGCGGTGGCGTGTGCCAAAATTAGAGAGAGAGATGAACGAGTGTGCCCGCAGCCTGTCGCGGCGTGAAAGCTAGCTTGAAGCATGAATGACAACTTTTCATCATTCGGGGATCTCTCATGCAATCTCGGGTGGCCCCGCCAACTTACTTGCCACTGGCACTAAAAACAGTCCGATCGTCCCAATTGGACTGGCCAGCTTGCAAAATGGATTGAACCAGTGACAGTGCATGTTTCATTCGGCGTGGCATGGCCGAGCGCGAGCTGCTAACGAAGTAATTATCATATATAATTAACATAATTAATAATCAACATAATGAACATATCATTAATTATAGCATAACTTAACGCTCGAATCCCTAGTGACCGGTATGATGTGCCGTATACGGTATATTCTTTTAATGCATTCTGTACTCGATCAGTCGTATACGAGTCACCTAAGATATATCTATGCCCGCACTGATGCACTGATAATTGACAGCTCTTTGATTAAGCAACCGTCCCGGCCGCCATGCGCGGCGCGGGGCCGGTTTCACAAATGGTCTGCTTGGTCGGGGCCGAGGCTTACTTTAGGAAATTTCAACTCGCTACATACAAGCCTGGCCCCTCGCCATGCAGTAAACTCGTGTTAGTTAGACTATAGCGCGATCTCCGCTGAACCAATTAGTCGCGATCAACTATAGTGTACGGTAGTCACTGTTAGTAACGAAGTTCAAGGCGGCCAGTCTGAGGTCTAACTGAAGGGGGTAAGATGATCATGGCGGACCGTGGTCCGGCCAACATGGGGTGTGAGCTACTAAGCGGGATCAGTGATCAACCGTGAAACACTGAGGGCCTCGCAAACTATCCAAACCTCGATGTGACGTGCCAAGCCTGGAGTTGAATCAGCCTGCTTCCTTCACAAGTTACCAGAGAAACAAACCCATTATTTTTTGACAGTGCAACACGTCTGTATGCCTAGTATGTACATGTCGTTGAGGCGCCACCGTAGGTACGTATCAGGCGGGCCTAACAGCAATTCATTCTGTTTTTCGCCCTTCCCCTTTCTTGAGTGGCAGCTTCGCACTCAAGTTAAACTGACGCCCGAGCATCCAATCTTGTATCCAAATTGGAAAGAAGTTGGAGAGTATGTACACGGTCCAAGAGTGCTTGCCGTAGAACCAGTGGGCGGGGGGGCTGGTTTTAAGAATGGTTGCAACGGCCTGCAAACAAAAGTCTAGCAGACATTAGGACTGCAAGAAATGGCCAAGTCTGTTCTACACAAAGCTTCATAGTTCAATTGTGATCGAAGTGGTAGGACTTAAGGTTGCTAGTCAACAGAGAAGTGCGTCGGACTCTGGGAATTCAAACAAGGCTACGATCATTCGAGATCCACGAACCGTGAAAATGAGACTAAAAGAATCGCGCTTGGTATCCAAACAATCTTCCCACAACCTCTACCAAACACCGTTGCTCCCCTTTGATTTGCCCAAGGGCTTTTACATCTCGCCGAGCGGACAGAATACAAAATAGCGAAGACCTACATCATAAACTTCTTGTCCCTCCTCCTAACGACCTTACCAACTCTATCGCCCCTTCTGCACAGGAGCTGCGCACGCAGAGCGAAAACGGCAAGTCACGTGTTCGCTCCCGTTCTTTTGAGCGTATCGAGGTCAAAAGAAAAAGTCTGCAGGTAGATTTCTTTTATTCACCGTTTCAAACGAGCTCCCAAAGAGACCCAAGTGATCGAGTTTCGCCGCACCTTTTCCGCAAACTCGTCCGTCGGCGTCGCGCCCGGCTGCTGCGAGAACGCCACGCGTGCCCGTATCGCATCTCCGAACGGTTTGTACCGCCCTTCTTCCTCAAAGTATAGTCGCTCCGCGTTGTTCTTGCCAAGGTTGCTTTTGATTGCCCCCGGTTGGATCAACACGACGTCGATCCCAAACGGCTTCATCTCCATCCGCATGCCGTCCGTGAGGGACTGGATCGCAGCCTTGCTGGCGCAGTATGCGGCGCCCTGGAATGAGCTTGTGACGTCAGCATGGGAGTATGAATGGAGTGCGTTACGTGACGGATATAGGATCGTTGACGAGCTTTACCAAGAAGCGCAATCTGTCTGTAGAGGACTTGATCACCGCTTTGCTCGTGGGATGTGCGCCGCCCTGCCACTGGATTGATGACGTTAGCATGAGACAAGAGAATTGAATTGGCACAGGCTTTGAAGATTCAACGGAGGATTATGAAATAATTCGTAAGATGTGCATCCCGTCTGTGAAGAGGTGCTTGCCGCCTGGATGGAAGGATGCTGCACCCTGAAGAGAGCAATGTGACGTCATAAAAGAAGAGGCGTGACTTTGACCTGATTAGAGCAAGCACAGGCGAGAAAGCAATGCAAATAGCGTGGCTAGTTTTCATGAGATGCAGCCTGCACTGGAACGCTGACATGTATTCAGAAATGGATTCAAACTCAACGACTGATGGACTCAAACTCGCCGGCAGTTTGCCGCTCCTGCACAGAGAAAAACGTCAGCACTTTCAAGAACTGAAGAACGATAACGTTTTGTATCCTAAGGGCCGAGCTGCACAGACAATCCTGCATCTGGACCGCCACCTCAATCCTGTAGAACGCCGCACCCTGCAGATGACGTCAGCTTGGGGTTTGGCGGACAGCTGGGCAAAGATTTTGTCACTTATTAACCTGGAGGGCACTTTAGCCAAAGATGTTCACTGTCGCCCTGTTGGAGCCGGAGATCGCGCTGTGTATGACATCATCAGAACAGGACGAGTATCTGAGCAGACCAAGGGGTCAGGAAGACTGGTGATTTATTCCACTCAACGTGGTGAGAGGCCGAAGCTTGGCCTCCGCTGCTGGAAGCTGAGGAGTTGGGAAGTCACCAGGCACAGGCAATGTGGCAGATCAACGGACGTTTCAACAATCATCAGTCCCTGGAGAATTCTAGCGAAAGCGTCCGCATGCAAGAACGATCAGCTCCGGAAGATACCGATCTTTGGGGGGGGGTCCTCACATAAGGATCCCATGCACGACATGAAACTCTTGCCTGGCACACCCACACCAGCGCACGCACATTACTGTCGGAAAATCGACAGGAAGGCACAAAAATGATACTCATATAAGAGAAGGAGAAAAGCAGTCCAAAGTCTGTGTGTGCCCCTGAGTTCGACTCTTCTCTCTGCCATGTGCTTGCCGCGGCACTGCAAGCAGCAAGCAAGATCGATCTTTGGGCAATTCATGGCCCACCACAGAGCCTTCAGCCAGGCGGGTCACGGAAGATTGACATGGCTGAGAAACAGCTCATATCTCATGTTGCTACCGTCTATCTGTCGATGTCAAAAGATTTAACGCTTCTGATTCCTTACTTCTGATCGGTTACACCAACTCTGACACAGACCAGATTCGAGAGGCGTTCGGACTGCTCGAGGCCAAGAACTACGGGCTTGGAATGTTCTTTGAACATCGGCCGGCAGCGCTGCGGTTCCAACCACGACAAAAGTAATCTGCGCTAAGCCTGAATGTAAGTGGGTAGCTCACCCATGGAGTAGTCAGCCAGCCTGCAATGCTGCCAATGTTGGCTATTGTCCCGCCCCCTTGTTTCGCCATGACGGGAAACACTGCCTGACTCATGGCGATAACGCCATACACATTTGTCTCGAAGAGGTTCCGTACGCTGTCTATGGGGAGATCCATCAGGGGCCCAATCAAGCCAACCCCAGCATTGTTAACCTGCGAGATGGGGTTACGTGGATTGGTGATCATACTCGGATTTGGGATAATTGGGCGGCTTCGGGCACCGGATATAGTTGGTTAGGACAACTTGGTTGTCTACGGACATTTTGATTGGGGTTTAGGGTGGGGTTAGGAAAACTGCCCTGGCTTGGCGTGGTTCCACCATATGTGGTTATCCTAAGCAACTCGCACGGGCTAGGAGGCTCATCAGGGAGTGGGTCAAGCCAACTCCAGCTTTGTTGACCTGCAGAGATGGGGTTACGCACGAGGGTTAAGCTGCTGAGAGCTTGAAAATGACCGCAGAAACTAACCTGGAATTGCAACCACTGCCTGGCTTGAGGCAGCTACACATCATGCAATTGAAAAGAAAAGCTCGTACTGTGTAGGGCGAAGTTGATAAGGAGGCGGATCAACTTTGTTAACCTGCAGGATGGGGCTAGATCAGAAAGTTCAGGGGCCAACTTGCGGCATTTGCCACCAGCTATCAGCAAAGCGGACACTCGCTGTATCCTGGAGGGTCCATTAAAAATTGTGCGCAACTCAATTCCGCCACCCTTGCTGGTTCAAGAAAAGCTAACCCAGTCTGGGTAGTCGCCGTTTGGATGGTTGAAGCAATTGTGAAGGTCGAGCGAGCGGCGGATCAGACCAACCCCGGCATTAGTGGTCTGCGCCAAGGTGCTCGACAGTGACAGGCAGTGACAGCGAGAGCCTGAGCAAGCTCAGTGGAGTTTATCAGACAATAGAATGCTATGGGGAGTGGTAGCTTCTGAGAAGATATGAAAAGATCGACGACAAACATCATAAGAGGGCTACAAAGATCTAACAGAAGTTGATCCTTTCTTTAGACCACCACCTGTTGGCAACGTCGACCTGTAGCCAGGCACCTGATTATAGCGGGACCATGTGAGGTGCACTCAACCCCATTTTGGGAGCACCTACTATGACAGGAAGAGATGGACCAAAAAATATCATAAAGCTATCCCAATGCAATGACAAGCAACTCACCAGAATATCAATGCGGCCGGCCTTTGCCACCACACTCTCCACGCACTTCTTGATCGACGCCTCATCACACACATCTAACTGCACCAAGTCACATCCTTGCTTTTCCAGACCTTTCATGCTCTCCAATCGACGGGCGCTGGCAAACACGCGGCACCCCTGCTTGAGGAACGCCTCGCACAGGCCTGCTCCGATCCCCCCCTCTGATGAGCCAGTGACCAGAACCACTTTGGGTACCGCCATTGCGCTGGCTGCGCATGTATTGTCCTTAAAATGATATATTTCTGAGTAATCTTAGCTACAACACCACTTATTCTACACTTGTGACGGGGAAACACGATTGGCTCCTTACATTTGCACAGATGAGGAGACTTCGCACAAGAGTTTGAGACGTCCTTTGACACATTTAAAAGCCAAGTCTGCAGCTGCAGAGCTTTTTCTTAACTCTAGCCGTGCCTGACCACAGGACGTCACAAATGGTCAGCTAGATCCTTCTAGCGCGCCAAAGTTCGAACCAAGGATCCGTCTACTCAGGGAGGACGTGAGGGTGCACAGAAAGAAAGTGAACTGCGAACATTCCTGATTTCCAAAAGGGGCACGAGGCATGCGAGTTGCAGAATCAGAGCTAGCCAATCACAAGCCGCATCTGCCACATGCCGTGGGGCACGCAGGTGGCACGTGCCCTCGACGAACTTCCTTCAACATTGCCACTTGGGTGACACGTGGGTTAGACTCTGAGCTTCTGATTGGTCGTGATGGTCAAAAAGTGACAAAGCGACAAAGTGCGGTGACGCCACCTTCACTGTCAGATCGACTATGGCGGCAACTTGCGTTCGTCCGAAGACTGCAATTCAACATCGCCTAGCTTTGTTAGAGAGGCGTTTAGGACTCGAGACTACATTCAGACCTTGTCTCATGAGCCACC